GTGTTTTGCTTAATTCATTGAAATATACTAATAATCCTTTCTTGCTTGTCTAGTTGATTATCTTTTTTTCATTGCACCATTTTTCATACTGATCAAAAGCTTCTTGGTATTTCTTTTGTGATTTAGCTGGCACCAGATGCGAAACAACATTAAAAGCTTCCTTCTCAATATCAGATGGCAGATTATCGCTTGAACTCATTTTTAAATGTGAAATTTTTACACAGCTTTGACACTGACTGACAGAAGAAATTTATTCACAATCGTAGCTATGCTTGTTGCTAAGGTTATATAAATTCTTATTAACTGCATACTGTATTCAATTTTTAAACATTTTATTTTTACTCAAATATTTATTAAAATAATAATAGTTATACTGCCCTATTATGGAGAAAGGCAGTAACTGCAAAAAAATGCAAAATGCGTTTTCTTGTGCTATGGTAAAGCTATGGAAATTTTGTAACCGAATTCAACAAAGAAATGCAGTCAAATATCTCAGAAGTTTAAAAAATCAATGAAATACCTACTACTTTTTATAAAAATGTAGTTTATGCTAATTTTCCACAAATTTCTTGTTTAGCAGTTACTGCCTTTCTCCATAGTAGGGCAGTATAGTTGTAGATAATATGTTGTACGTAACACGTAGGATACCATATTATTAACGCATTTATGTGATGGCAAATTTTCTCATGCGTGCGTTAATAATATCCATATCCTACTTGTTACGTAAATAACTATTATTTAATCAATTTTATTATACTCAAAATATCCTTTCCTATTGGTACAATTGGACCCCGTTATGCAACAAAGAACCAAACAACATATTTGCAGTTACGAGAAAATGAGGATAAACGTTTCAGACTTTTGATTAAAAAATTACTTTATAAAAACACTTTTAAACTGAACAAACGCTACCATATTTTACTATATATGAACAGAACAATAATTTTAATGAACAAAAACACTTGAAAAGTTATTCCAAGTATGGAAAAAATACCTGGTTCCCTATTGCTTAATTGAAAATTTAACAAACATCACTTGGGTCCGCAACCAAGTTACAATAAAAATAAAAAAACTTACGTATGTCAAAAAATAAAAGTTTTACTCCAAGAAAAACACTTGGTTCTATATTGCGGAACAGGAAAAAATATATTATTGGTCAAAGTCAAAGTCTAACTCGCCATTTTAACCGTCTATGTCTTCCTCTATTAAAGGGTCTCCTATTAGACTAGTATAAAAATTATGATCAGCCTCAGGAATAAGATGCAAATAACTGCGTATGTCATCTAGTTTTGGCTGAGCCACTGGTTTCCCGTTTGGCCAAAGCGATTCCAGTAACTGAGAAAACTGTACGTCTGAATCCTTTGATTCTTATATTTATTTATTTATATTCAGTCTCATCAACATAGTCCGTTTTTATAAAGATACTAAATTTTTTTTCTCTAATAACTTTTCTTTCTGTTAACAATTACTTTTTCTAATGCCCTAGTGCTAACGAAATCATCTTTTTTTATTTCAATGGGTCGCTTCTTTGTACATGTTTTCATGATTTTTAATAATGAGACACTATTTGAGGAGCATCCGTGCAAAACCGGCTAAATCCATTTTATTCAGTTTTTGTTTTTCTTTTGATTTCGCATCTTTGGGTTCATTTGTATCGACAACCAAGATAATTCTGTTTAAATCCGACTATATCCATGTTAAAATCACATTTAAAAGGTAGCTTTAGGAGCAAAACCGGCCAAATCCACGTTTTTATAGCAAACCCGGCTATATCCAATAAATAATATGTGGCTTGGATATGTCGATACTACTACTAAAATTTGTTGTTTTTTCATGTTTGCACTAAATTTATTTTGATAATATTTTTGAATAATAAAGGTTTTTTTTTCACATTTTATTCGGTTTTCTAGCAAAACCGGCTATATACAAAACATTTTTTGAAATTTTGGCCTTAATATAAAGTTTTTGAAAACGAAAGTATGTCTTATAAATCAAGTACCACAAAGCCCACAAAACTCAAGTTTGCTTTTTCTTTTATCTGTAAAGGCCAGGACACCGAGAGTTTTTGCCATTTTCCCAACATTTTATTAAAGTTGATATAGCCGGTTTTGCACGGATGCTCCTCATTTGTTTAAACATTTAAAAAAATAATGATATACCAGCTGACAGGCACTACTGCACAACAATGAATATGCCGGCAACAACAATAAACAGAGAACGCCGTGAAACACGTGGGAATTTCGCAAAAGGGAACCAACACATCTCAGAATTAGCAAAAGGGAACCAAGTAACTTTGGATCTTTATAGTAAATTACAATCGATTTGGTTATGCAAGTAAGTTCTATCGTCCGCCAAATGGCACTAGAGCGCCAGATTTTTGGATCGCTATTGCAAATCGGGGGAAGACAATATTTGACTATGTATAATGCAATTAACTCGTTTTTTCGTAAATTGTCGGTTGGTTCCTTATTGCATAACGGGGTCCAATTGGCGTCCCCGAAATGTGAACGGCAAAATTTAATCGTGTATTTTGGACAACGTTATGCTACCTTGCATCAGTGTCGTCGGTCGTTGTCAAATTTGATAATAGTTGTCAATTGCAATATTAAAAATGCCACCCCACTTAACCGAGGCTCAGAGGTCCAGGGCAATAGCCAAATTAGAAGAAAATTGGTCTTTAAGTGAAGTAGCTGCATATTTTATATCAAAAAAAGTTGGCAAGAACAACAAAGATTAAGAAGACCTATCAGGCAAGGTGTAGGAAAAATCTCCAACGAAAATGAAGACAATGCTCTTGTCGCACATATTAGGCAAAATCCTTTCAATAGCGCAGTTAAGGCCCGAGAAGATACACAATTTCCAGGATCTCTTCGAACAGCTCAAAAAAGATTGTTCAAAACAAGCTGGTTTAAAAAACTGTGCTGCTGCTCATAAGGTTTTTTTAACTGACGAAAATAAGCGCAGGAGAGTCCAATTCGCCAATGACTATTTAAATTATGGAGACGATTTTTGGAATAATGTTATATTTTCGGATGAAAAAACGTTCCAATCTTGCAATAATGGAAGGCTGCGTGTATATCGTCCAAGAAACGCAAGATTTGAGGAGAACTATACATTAAGAACCTCAAATAGTGGACGCTTTTCCATAAATGTTTGGGCGTTGTTTCAAAACAAGCTGGTTTAAAAAACTGTGCTGCTGCTCATAAGGTTTTTTTAACTGACGAAAATAAGCGCAGGAGAGTCCAATTCGCCAATGACTATTTAAATTATGGAGACGATTTTTGGAATAATGTTATATTTTCGGATGAAAAAACGTTCCAATCTTGCAATAATGGAAGGCTGCGTGTATATCGCCCAAGAAACGCAAGATTTGAGGAGATATACATTAAGAACCTCAAATAGTGGACGCTTTTCCATAAATGTTTGGGCGTGGATAAGCATCCATGGTCCGGGAGTATGTTGGGAAATTGATGGTAGATTAACGGCTGAGCACTATACGAGGATTTTGGACAACGTTATGCTACCTTCAGTTAAACATGTGTTTCCAGAAAACTTTATATTCCAACATGTAAGAAAACTGTATAGTATTCAAAAACGATTCTAATAAATATTATATTACAGGACAATGCACCAGTTCACACAGCTCGCGTGGTTACAGAGTGGGTAAACAACAACCACATAAATGTTTTGCCATGGCCAGCTAGAAGCCCTGACTTAAACCCCATTGAAAACGTGTGGGGTTTTATAGTTAAAAATATATATCAATGGGACTTTAGGCCAAGATGAACTATGGAGTGCTGTTGAAATCTTTTTTGAGCAGTTCAAAGAGATCCTGGAAATTGTGTATCTTCTCGGGCTATTGAAAGGATTTTGCCTAATAAGTGCGACAAGAGCATTGTCTTCATTTTCGTTGGCAAGAACAACAAAGATTGAGAAGACCTATCAGGCAAGGTGTAGGTAAAATCTCCAACAAAAAGAACTTCTTGCCAACGTTTTTTGATATAAAATATGCAGCTTTTAATGACATTTAAATCACTTAAAAACCAATTTTCTTGAGCAATATGTTAATTTAGTTATGTTATTTTTATTGTGTATTTACCTACTTGTTAATTTATATTGTATAAAACCAAATTAAAGTTAATTTATTTGTTATATTGTTTATATTATTGTTTGTTAAAATTTTATTAAAAAAATAGAATGATTTAGGATATTGTTCTTATTCTTAGTATTCTCCCTTCTATATGTAACACCACTGGCCAAAGCCAGGAATGAACAAATAAATTTTATGAAAAAAATCCATGACAACAAAAAATCGTTCACATTTCGGAGACGTCAATTGTACATCCAGTATACGGCCATTCCAAGCCCATGGACAGGACACATCAGAAACAAGTCTAAATATATTCTTGTTACTTCCTTAAGTGTACTTATTTTTTCTACGAGTATTTATGAGAAGTATTAGCCAAATTTGGCTAATACTTCTCATAAATACTCGTAGAAAAAATAAGTAAACTTAAGGAAGTAACAAGAATATATTTAGACATGTTTCTGATGTGTCCTGTCCATGGGCTTGGAATGGCCGTATAGGAACTACAAAACTGTCCAAAAATGTGTGCAGAATCCACATTTTTACAAACTTTAAAAAATTATGTTTTATTTAATTACAAGTGTATTTAAAGAGTTTCAATCAAATTATAAGTTAAACACACAAAATCATATTTTTGGATATCTTAATGACAAAATATAACCAACTTAGTTCTTTCGATAGATTGAATTTATTTCTAGATCCTTAACTCAAAAGTCTAATTCTACATATTAACACGTTATTTACAGAATAAAACAATTGAACCTTGTAAAAGAAAAAAGTGCCATTTTCTTTTAAACATGCTTTTTTATATTAGAACTTGCAATCTTGCATTTAAAAAAGGTCAAAAATCATGTAATTAGTAAAAACATATGTATAATTTGATTATATTTGTGCATAAAATTGGAGTACTTACCACCCTCTCTACGAGGTCTACCTCTGCCTCTCTTGATGCCAACAAGTGGTTTTCCAGATAAATTAAAGGAAGGTGGTAAATCTTCATTGTTGGGTGGTGATGAAGTAACTGAGGTTGTGGTGGATCCAGGACCAGAAGAAGGAAGTTGGAATGGTGATTGACTTGGATCATCAATTATATCCTCATCATCGTCCTCTAAATCAGAACCCTCTGGATCATCAAGATCCATTGTAAGTTCATCAGGATCCAGACCTGCTGGTATTTCATCCATTTTCAATAACTAAAACACCAAATGAACACTAATAAAGCCTCTATCAAGGTTATAACAACAATGCTATAAGAGCCACTAGCACTACATGACCAATTCATTTTTTTATCACTGCATATTCGCATTTATCAGAAACACTCTTAAAACTACGGTTAATTCCGGAATAAACAAAACAATAAAAGCCATCCTTATTAATTGTATTCTTGAGGACCCCAGCGCCATGACAATTTGTGCTCACTGATGCCGAAGAAACAACTCGGTAAATCTTATAATTGGCACAATAATATAACTAAACCTCACTGGTAAAATAAACTGTATTCATAAACTTACATCAAATTATTTTATTACATGGTAAATTTGTATACATTTCGTAATAACACAAAAAAGTCACTATAGTTAAAGAAAGGGGGAGAGACCATCTCACCGGACAAAGACGAAACTACACGAAGTTAAAAAAGTTATGCCATGTTGCCATAGCTATTATATGAAAAGATTTTTTTGAACTAAAACGAAAAACTTAGCTTCTTGGGTAAGTTATAATTAAAGAAATAATTATAAATTTTAAAATTATTACTCAATATTTAAGCTATTTAATAAATAAAGAACTTTTGCTGTATTTATTTAAAGACCATACAAGTGGCAACGTCGAATAATAAACCATACGCAGACAGTGCGGACAACCAAATAAAACAAACTAAAATTATAAAAGTTAAATTTTGGAATATTACACATATTTACAGAACATAAGCATATTTATCTAAATATGTGGAATGTACCCATATATAAATACCATAATTAACAAAAAAAAATGTTTTATTTTAATTAAATATTTGTGCAATTAAAACTTTTAGTTCAAAAGCTGTTTCAAACTTGGTAGATAAATAAGTTAATTACTTATATACTTTATAGAAAAGTTTGGTAGATATGTTAATTACTTACAAGTTTACACATGTCAAATGATTGCAAGCTCTGACTATGGTAGGCAGCCTCCCTTTATGATCTGTCTGTCTGTCTGATAGACCTTATATATCGTTTTTCTATTTGATAAACTATATGGAGTTTAATTTTCTACCTAGCCTAAGATGTACAGATCATTGACTTATGTCTTTATGTCGATGGTTCATGTAATCTGAACCAGATTTAAGGATTGTGTCCGGGCGTAAAAATACGTCAATCTGGTCCAGATCAAAGAAAACTGACCAAACCCATAGTATTAATAACCTGACCAAACCTGTGGTCGCATGTAATATGGGTTGCATATATTAAGTGCGGCACCAACTGGCAACACAGTATGATGGAATCCATGGATGTGTCGGGTTATAAGTTATTTTTTCTACTCCCACCTTTAAAACGCCCTTTATCGTACATGTTTCCATGACACTAAATGACCTTTTAAATACACATTGACAAGTTGTGGCTTTATGGCGCTTTAGTCACGGGCTGAAGTTGCTATAGCAACAGGTTTTTAGTCACGGGCTGAAGTTAGTTTTAAGTTAGTTGACAGTTGTCAAATGTCATACAATCGTTAACATAATGTGCCTTTCTTGTAAAATAATACTAAATGTGAAAATTATTTTATTATCTCAAAACAAAATTACAAAAGTATTCAATTGTTTCTCAATATTTGAAAAGTTTATATGAACATTGTACTGACCTTTTAATTTCGCCGGCAGTAAACTATAACCTAAATTCGGGCACTGTAAAGTTCTCATAAAGCATTTTCTTTACTTTCACTGTGAAAAACTGTCAATTTTTAAGAAATACATTTCGATTTATAACCTTTATAATCTGTGTTTATAAAATTTGACATTTGCAAACATTGCAACATTGTCAATTGACGGTGACACACAGATTCTCCTTTTGTTTCATAGATGGCGCTCTATGCAAATTTTTGATTTAAATCATTTTAAGATAATAATAAGTATTTGTCGTAGAAAAAGTATAGTATGCACCTCATTTATAAATTTTTCTATACACTCATTAATTTAAGCACTCGCTCGCAAGCTCGCTCGTACGTAAATTAAATTCGTGTATAAAATGGCGTTTATCAAACTTGATACATAATACGTATATTATAGGAGAAATGGTGAAATATGAATTTAGATATTTTTTAAAAACATTTTAAATTAAATTAATTAATTTTAAATATTTTTAGACAGAAATAATGAAATATGAATTTATTATAATAATATATTTTAACGAAAAATCCGTGTTTTTAAATGCACGGCAGTACCAGCTGTCAGATTTCAGATAAAATATCAAATAAAATTATAAATAAATTACCATTACCAAAAGTAGGTATGTGTAGAAGAATAGTATAGCTAGTGGGAAAAAGAGGAGATTCCTCTAGGGTGGATTTTGCCGCAGAAGCGAGTGGAATTTCCTCTTTCGACCAATAGTTGCAAACAATATATTGTTTATATAGTTTATTCAACTACCACAAGAAGTTTATTTATTTATAATTTTATTTGATATTTTATCTGAAATCTGGCAGCTCTCAAGAAACTTTTTTCCAATTTTAACTTAAAGCTAAATTCAGACCCTGAACGAAATGCTATTTTGCCCACTATAGTGGGCAAAGTAAAATTTGGCCACCGCTTAAAGTTAAGAAATGAATTAGGTATTGAATAAACAAATACTTATAAACAATGTTTATTAAACATTATATTTTAGGGCTGAATTGACAACAATATTTTATCACCTGTTGTGAGGCATTCAGTAACAAATAAAATAATTAACAATTAATGCCATTAAAATTGAATTAAAATTTTCAGTGCACATTATACCTTCAACAAAAAACTACAATAGGTATACCTATAGGTATATTATATTTTATCTCCACGCGATCTATAATTTAAACTTTATTGTTGTCAATATTCGATAAAGAAATACCTTGTTATGGCCTAGGGCGATAAAAAATTTTATGAGGCAAGTAATTAGTTCGATTTTTTCTCGCTAGGGGAATTGTTTTGACAAATTAATCCTTTTCTAAGAAATTAACGTACTAAACTGGTTTAATTTATTTATAATAAGCACTAATTTGTTTGTTTTACTGTTAACGTTTATTATTTTTCATTAAATTATTGTAAAATTAAATATGAATAATAAAACAAAAAGTGAGGTTAGGCAACCAAGAAAACGCACGATTCTTTTTCTACGATTTAAATTATCTTTAAGTTTTAATTTGCTTTAAGTTTTCAGTGAAATTAAATGTTAAACACAGCTTAAACATTCCAAACTACCTATTTTTTAAATAAAAATCAAATTGAAATTAGATAACTACCTATTTATTAAACAATTAATTGAATTCAATGTAATAGCAAAAATCCATTTCTACTTAAATCATGTAGCTAGGTATTGTCAAACTATTACTGCTTTTAAAAGCAATAATAATTATTATACATTTAATGTAATCTTTAGCTAATAAATAAATGAGATTCTAAAAAAGTAAGGTTAGGCCGCTTTGATGTTGAATTAAATTGACCTATGTATATAAAGTGCTTTGAAGATAAAATGTTGTAGGCCTCCGCTACGCGTCGGCCTTCAAACCTTGAGCATAGCACAAAAAGCCTTACTTCTTAACCTAATGACATAAATAACTATTATTTAAAAAATTATCCCAGCAAATAAAACACAAACACCTATATTTAAATCTTTTTTATTTCGTTTTCTTGAGAAAGATTTACATTAAAAAAGAAACTTGAGTTATTGTGAGCAAACAATACAATTGTACTAATACACATATACATAATCCATTATAAACTACATAATTGTATTATCTATAAAGATCTATTGCAAAATAACATAATTAGCAATTAAGAAATTAATCTAAAAAATGAGTATTTTATGAGTTTTTGAGTTATCCATAATTAATAAATATATGTTGGGTAATTTTTTTAAACTTAACCTAAATCTTAATATAATCAGCCTCAACATATAATCTAATATACATACATATCACGGTAGTTTTCTAATCTATTCAATAAAAAATGCAGTTAGACATAGGTACTACAAATAGTACATACACTTATGTATATAATTAACATGAGCAAAAGGTGCAAAGGTATTTAATTTAACAAAATTGTTCATAATTTTGGAATTTGGTACCTGGTACGCAAAAAGGTATACGCAAAAATAACCTTTTGTACCTACTCTTTTTAATTTATTGTTTATTAAGTTATAAAAAAAAACATGAAATTAAATTTGATGAGATATCTCATATATATAAAACTACTTTTGGGTATAAAATGAAAATATAAATTGCCTCTATTTTTTTGTTAATTTTGGCACAAATGGGACAAAGTACAAAATAAAAATTTTAATTGACAATTAAAATTAGTCCTATTAAGTAATTAGTTTAATATTTCTTAAATTTAACATGATATGTTCCATAAACTTAAAATTTACTTTTCAATATTCTAAAATCATAATCAGTCTTTATCCATTAAAATGCTTATAAAATTTTTTATCCATGTTAAAGTTAAAAAAAAATTAAACATAAAATACCTTGCATCACTGACTTAATATTAAATTATTAAGAATGAATACTTATGCTGTTTGCCCCTATGCATCAGGCAAACAATTTGTACAGAAAAGGAAATAAATAAATATCACTGAAACTGCATCATGCTATATTTTATATGCATTTTTGGGAATGCGTCATATTAGCTACCATCCAATTATACCACTGAAATGGTAGGAAACGTCCTAAATTATGAAAAAACGATTTCAGTCTAAGTAAAATTAATTAATTAACATTCGCAAAACATGTATTTTTGCAGATACCTCCTAAATCTATTAGAAATTTGTCTTTTAAAGTAATGTGAATAAAAAACGTTAGCTTTGAAATGTGAAAAAACTTAACTAATGAAATTTACAATTTCACTTGTCATCCATTCCCTTCAGTAGGCAGAACTATTGAGACTGATTTTCCTGGTCCTGATCGGTAAACTGGTACGACTTTAAATTGAGAATCCACTAGTTTTTCTTCGTCAGGTATTTGGACTAGATTGGGACTTAAAAAATATTAATTAATTTTTGGTGAATTCAATTTATGGGTTTTTATATTTACCTGTCGAATGCATTAGGCGGAGGCGTAGGCGTTCTGGAAAGCGGAAAACTGGCAACCTCGCGACTATTTGCTAAAGATCTGATAGATCCGAAATTTTGGTCCGGAGACTGCTGGCCGATAGGGGCTACGTTTGCACTGAAAAAATGGATTTGGTAAAAATAACATTTTATAAGGTAAACAATTTAAGGATATAAAAATGCTAGTTTATTATATAAATTAGTTTATATAAATACATGCACGGGCGTCGCCTTATTGTTCGATTTATATAAGCAGTTACGGTTTGGGAATAATTAACATTTTTTTTAATAAATCGCAGAAGAACAAGAGCCGAGGTATATGATTTTAATAAATAAATATATTCAGCTAAAATTGAGCCAAAGGTTTAGCCGAAGGCTACTTAAGTAATTAAGGAATTCCTACTAGGACATTTGGGGATTTACAGGCAGTCTGTTAAATGTTCGGCTTCGGCTAAGCCTTCGGCTCAATCTTAGCCAAGGCCTAATGTTTGGCCGAAGGTGAAATTTTTGGCCTAAGCTAAAGCTTACAATTCATATCCTCTATCTATCATCTTGCCCCCCTGGCCCATTGGCTGGCGACGCCCTTGAATACAGGGTGTCCCGAAAATAACGCTATACCACGCAATAGTGGGGTTAAGTATAAAAAGAACAACCATATATTTTTTTACTAACTAGTTTTCGAAGTTAAAAAAAACTTGGTAACGGTATTTTTTATATCCGAAACAGTGATATCTTAAACCGGTTACTGACAGTTTTTGTCAAAAAATCAAAACATTGTTATTATTAAATTTGATCGTATATAATACCACCTATAGGTGGTAAAATTTTATCGATAAAATTTTTGATTTTTACACGAATGTTTTTTACTTGGAAATTTCTCATTAATTTTTAAGGCCACGAGCCGCTAGGTGAGTGGTTTTTTCACCTAAATAATAGTTTTATCGCTGCAAAACTGAAAAAAAACACTCGTTTTCTGAAATCTGATTGGTCCATAAAGTAATGAGTGGAATAGTCTTTATAAAACATTAAAATAATACAAATACACCGCCCTCGGTGGTGTAGTAGTCTGCGATGCGGACTACTACACCAGCTGTGGTTGTTTATTAGTGTTTGTCCAGGGTTAAGTGGAAGAATAGCTAATGCTAAAGTTTATTGATCAATAAAGGCGTTAAAAAGACTAACTAACTCAAAAGCTATAAAATTATGGTTTTTATTTTTTTATGCTCAAAATAAGGACCGGCCCTTGAGGGTCGTTATTTTGAGTGTAAATTTTTTTAATAGGATGGCGTTAGTGCGTCATTTTCTGGACACATTATATACATGGTGTCCCGAAAATGGTGCACGCTGTAGGGTGTGTAGTATATAAAATTACAAAAATGTTTCCGACATGGTATTTTAGAGTTATTAAGCATTTAAGTTAAGTTAACTAAACTTGGCCATATGTATACCTATACAAGGTATACGGCGTATATGACGTATTGCACGTAGAATTGCGGATTGTAAATTACAATTTGTAATACGGGCTTGAGGATATATGCAGCTTTGCCAAGATTACTTAACTTAACTTAAATGCTTAATAACTCTAAAATAACATGTCGGAAACTATATATGGGGCAAAACACGCCAAGTGTTCCCACTAAAAACTTAAGTTGTTTCCGATTTTGATGAAACTTTGCTAAATCATTATCCTATCGGACTACTTTAGTTAAGCAAAAGGGCAGCGGAAAAGACTGACGGGTTGCAGATATACAGCATATATAAGCATTAATGCGCTGTCGGAATAAGGACCCTTTCTAGAGTTTAAAAACATGTTTTTTTTTTAAATTGTAGGTCATCCTTTTTTTAATTTTAATTCAGATACCAACTGAAATTTAATGACTAATTTAAGATTTTGTGCGAATTTCTTTAAAACTGAGCCCTTAAGGGAAAATTTTAAAATAAAGAATTAAAGACCACAAAATTATCTATTAAATGATGCTTCAACAACCGCAACCACTGGCGTAGATATATATTTTTTTAATTACAAAATGTTTTAAAAACTTTGTTTTTGCACATTAATTGCCGAAACCATATTTCACAAAAAAGGAAAGGACATTATAAAAACTATGTATTTAAAAAAAGCAGGACCATTAAATAAGTTGAGTAGGTACCTAAGTATACTACCATCAGTTGCTTACATTAAATTGCCAACAAGGAGTAAATAAAGAAATCTAGTTAGTCATCAACTTTGTCAGGCAACACTTTTGCCTACGTATTTTGGAACGGACTAGTAAAACTTCTAGGAAAAGAACATGCGTTGATATAGCCTAAAACACTGAATTTGGTATCTAAGAAGGTGACATATTTGAGTAAAATGCATGTTAAATGCTTCTGAAACATCCTGACACTCTTTGCAATGTTGAAAGTATTCCCAGTTAAACATAAAAAATTCACGACTATATATAGTCGTGAATTTTTTATGTTTAACTGGGAATACTTTCGTATATATACATGCATGGATTTCTCAGTCCAATAGTTTGGGCATATTTATGGGGGCATGATTTAATAGATAATTAAGTCACCCTTATTTCCCTATTAAAACATTTTTTATAAAGGCCTATGTTTTAAAGATAATGGCAAAAAACTAAAATGAATCACCAATTGATGTTTGAAATTTGGATTATTAAGCAAAACTTCTAAAAAGGAACACCTACAATTTTGAAAAACATATTTTTAAATTTTTATGTGACCTATGACTCGTTCAGAACCACTGTTAGTGTTATTAAGGGTAGTAAGGGGCTAATTTAGCCCTAACTAGATTAAAATTATTAAGTCCAGTGGCGTCCCCAAAGACACCTGAATCAATATTTTTTTACAAAAAAATGTGCGCCACTGTCTTTTTTGCAATTTTTATATTTTTTCACATTAAGCAACTAAAAATACAACTTTTTAATCTCTAGTATATTTTTCGTATATTGCTTCGTTTTTGAGAAAAAAATAAAAATAACTTTATTGCATGTATGTATACAATGTAATTTATGACCCTGCAAGTTGAAAACGAAGCATTTCTGGACGTATGTTTATATAAACTTTTCGTCTTAAAATAACTCAAAAAATCGTCCCCTAAAGTTTGGCCACATACTTAAATAACACACATAAAATAAGTCCTGATTAGTCGGATTTAAAAAAGTTATGACCAATTGTAAAGAAACACCATTTTTCTGTATCATAACTTTTTTGGTTTGGCAAAAAAATAAACAAGGCAGATGCTATCTGAAATGAATTGTTGATCTATGTATTTTCTGACAGTTTGTGTCTAAAAATCTAAACTTAAAATCAAGAACACTATATAGTGTTCTTGCTTGTTATTATTAACAAATTTTAACTTTTTATTTTTGAAACGTCTGAAATATTTTTGTTTAGGCAATGTCACACAAACTAAACTTAGATTTTTGGCATACATTCAAATTTTTATCAAAGTAAAATTCTCCAACATTAAAATAGTTACAATTACAATTAATGTCCTGTTTTGATTATACGGCGTAAGAACGATTTAATAACAAAATAAATAAGGATATTTAGCTTTAGTTGCTTGTATAACTTATTGGCATTTTATTATAATAAAGAAATTGGTTTAAACCATTTAAAATTTAAATAAACTTTAGCTTTGTTATTATAAATAAATATGTTTAAACTTTTGACAGTATTTTTTATTTATCACAGTTTTGCCACAGATAGTATTATAGAAAACTTGAAATGTTCGGCGTACATCCAGTACTTTTTAAAAAATATTATGCTAATTATTTTTAAGAGCGTTTTTTTACCAATTTAGCCAATAATTTAGCTTTTTTTATTACTAACTAAACTATAAAAATACCAAATGACAGTGGATGCATTTGCTGCAAGATACATACACCTTGCTAAAAGTATACATACCCGGACAACAATCGGGATTTCCTGGTGAAATCATGATGATATCACAACGTGATTTTTTTTATCACGCCGTGATATCCTGAGTGCATACACATGCTTCATCACAGTGATATCATGTAGAACTCACGGTGTGATATTTGCAAAATTTGCGCATGCGTAATAGCCCTGCGAACTGCGAATTTAAAACCTAGTTTGTTACCTGTTGATTCAACATAACTTTTCTCTTAGTGTACGAACGTGGCGCAAAAATGATAATCAAAACACCGTTGGCATAAAAAATCACGACATGATTTTTTATGCTATCGGTCAAAAAATCACGACATGATGTTCGTATGAATATCACGAATGTTGTCCTTTTTTAATTGAATTCAATTAAAAAAGATATTCCAATGTTTAATAAAACGTTTTGTTAAACATTGGAATATCTTTTTTAATTGAATTCAATTAAAAAAGGACAACATTCGTGATATTCATACGAACATCATGTCGTGATTTTTTGACCGATAGCATAAAAAATCATGTCGTGATTTTTTATGCCAACGGTGTTTTGATTATCATTTTTGCGCCACGTTCGTACACTAAGAGAAAAGTTATGTTGAATCAACAGTTTTTGCGGTTAAATACATTCAATATTTTCTTGAATGTAAATTAACTATTAATTTAAATCCAAAAAAATATTTAATGTTTTTATTTAACCACAAAAACTCTTGATTCAATATATACGAGTATGTAGGTATACTTTTTCTCTTAACGTACGAATGTGTCGCAAAAATAAATATCCAAACCCGGATGGCATAAAAAATCACGACATGATTTTTTATGCCATCGGACATGTTTGGATGTTTATTTTTGTGCCACATTCGTACATTGTGAGAAAATGTATGTTAACAATTGAATTAACAGTTTTTGCGGTGAAATACATTTAATATTTTCTTGGATGTAAATTAACTATATATATTAATTTAAATCCAAAAAAATATTGAATGTATTTAACCACAAAAACTGTTGATTCAATATATATTATATGTAGGTATACTTTTTCCCTCAATTCACGAATGTGGCGCAAAAATAAATATCCAAACCCGGATGGCATAAAAAATTACGATATGATTTTTTATGCTATCGGTGCTTGGGCATAAAAAATCACGACATGATTTTTTATGCCATCGGACATGTTTGGATGTATATTTTTGTGCCACATTCGTACATTGTGAGAAAATGTATGTTAACAATTGAATTAACAGTTTTTGCGGTTAAATATATTTAATATTTTCTTGGATGTAAATTAAGTATTAATTTAAATCCAAAAAAATATTGAATGTATTTAACCACAAAAACTGTTGATTCAATATAATATTATATGTAGGTATATTTTTTCAATGTACGAATGTGGCGCAAAAATAAATATCCAAACACCGATGGCATAAAAAATCACGACATGATTTTTTATGCCATCGGACATGTTTGGATGTTTATTTTTGCGCCACATTCGTACATTGTGAGAAAATGTATGTTAACAATTGAATTAACAGCTTTTGCGGTTAAATACATTCAATATTTTCTTGAATGTAAATTAACTATTAATTTAAATCCAAAAAAATATTGAATGTTTTTATTTAACCACAAAAACTGTTGATTCAATATATATGTAGGTATACTTTTTCTCTCAGCGTACGAATGTGGCGCAAAAATAAATATCCAAACACCGATGGCATAAAAAATCACGACATGATTTTTTATGCCATCGGTGTTTGGTCATAAAAAATCACGACATGATTTTTTATGCCATCGGTGTTTGGATATTCATTTTTGCGACACATTCGTACATTGAAAGAAAAAGTATGTTAACAATTGAATTAACAGTTTAACATTCAATATTTTCTTGGATTTAAATTAACTATAAATAGTTAATTTAAATTCAAGAAAATAATAAATGTATTTAACCGCAAAAACTGTTGATTCAACATAATTTTTCTCTTAGTGTACGAACGTAGCGCAAAAATGATTATATATTGTGCCATCGGTCAATCGCAAACAGCGATGGCATAAAAAATCACGACATGATTTTTATTTCTCACGCAGTGACATCCGGATGATGTCCGTATGAATAAAATTTGTGAAAATCACGACGTGACGTTCGTATGATTTTTATTTATCACGCGGTGACTTCCGTATGATATCAGTATGAATAAAATTTGTGAAAATCACGACGTGATGTTCGTATGAATATCACGAATGTTGTCCGGGTACAGTGTATGTCATACACCATTTGCTGTAAGTATGCCTTTAAAACAAAGCAATAATTTATAAAAATAATTAGTATTTTAATAATATAATATAATTTGTTTGTTTACATTGTATTGCATAATAATTAAGATAATTGATCTTTTGTTAGTTTTTTTCTATAAACGTAATAGGATTTTAATTAAAAAATATGTTGGGTTGCACCAGAGATATATCTCTGGGTTGCACTCACGTTACACTTCTTTAATAATTTCAAATTTAACTACATATTTAACAAGGTACCTAGTAGTAGTAGGTAGATGTTGTTTGTTTTAGATGTGTATTAGTTCTATCTTAGACAAAAAACCAATACGTCCCAAATAAATGTTATGACCGCCCTTAATGGACGTAAGCAAAAATCTAAGTCTAATAGTGATTGGTTGACAGAAAAATCTAAATACAATTTTTAGAAAGTTTAAAATGTAACAGTCTTTCTTAGTAAAAATGATGATTCATAAAAATCGCAGTTGTTATACTTTCGGTGCCCTCACAAATTGACTTTTCAATAGATGCAATAAACACATAAATAACATTAAAATGTATACCCTGGGCAAGTATGTCTTGCCGCAAGACTCTTGCGAGTTGTATAATGGTTTATAAATGGCTAACACGTGTACGACATAAAAACTCTACCCTATCCTTGAAATGTTCAATATAGACTCTATATTATAGAGCAATATTTTTAAGTCTGCAAGTTATTGAACTAAATTTCTAAGAAATATAAAAAAACCTAAATTAATATGAGTTTCCGTAATCTTGGACCAATCTTGGAATATCAAATTATAATAATTTAGGATGCAAAATATATTTGTTGATAAATAAGTTTAAATTAAAAAAAAAAACAATGCATTGTATTATTTGCCAGCAAACAGTCATTTTTTGACTATATTTATTGTAAAATATTGTTGTAAGAGGTCAGTGCCATCGCTCTATTCATAGCATAGCTCACAAAAAAATATACACAATTTTAAATCTATAGGAAACTCTGGTGTTCAAAACGGTGGACCTGGTTTTTTGGTGAGCAAAGCTATGGTTTGATGCTATGGTCGGTACATGCACTATGGAAAAACTAGGTCTGTCTCTCATCAAAAATCCATAACTTTTTTATCATTGACTAAAGAACTTCTTCACTCAACGGTTTTATATAAATAGACTGCTAAAAGTTTGTACATATTTTTCATATTTTAGGCAAGCATTTAGGCATTTTAGTAATTTATTTTTAAAAAGTCAAAAGGCAAAAAATGATTGGGTTAAATTGCACTAAGAATTTTTAACGGCCTATCAAAATGAACGATAGGCATTTTGCCTAAAATCCAGTCTATAGTAATAAGTCCACAGAAAATGCTTAATTAATTATGTAAATGGTCGCGGACTTCATTTTTAAATTAACAATTTATAATACATGTCTCAATGATAAATGATTTATTGACGTACTAATTTTATAATTTTCTAAGCGAATTAATTTTACCTGACAGACACAGAGTTGACTAGGAATGGCAGAGGAGTAGGACACTGGCTGTGAGGAGAGCTGGCCAATGAACTCCTTGTGCTCGAAACTTGACTGTGGGGGCATTGAGGTGGACCTACGGCAATCGCGCCCGGGCCCCTTTTTCTTGGCCAGCAGAACGTGCAAGTACCGCCACGTTCTAACCCAACTGAAAAAAAGATATCTTGTTAATAATATGTTTTATATGTAAGTATATGAATACTTCATAAAGAAATACTCCAAATTTTGCTTTTTACCATTTTGTTTCTGGCTACATTTCAATATCTATTCTTCTAGGAAAAAATAAGGATTTTAAAAGAAAATTTTGGTGGGGTTTGCTAAATGTTCCTTAATAAAGACAACTGCAGTTAAAGTACTATTTTCAATTATAGCTAAGTCTAAACAAGGTTGCATGAAAATTCCAGTCCACACCTCGATCTAAAAATTCCAAATTTGTACCCTAGAGGCTCCAGAGGCTCTGGAGTATAGAAATGATAATGCTTTTGAAAAACATTATATAATGCATTTAAATTCCACTTAAAGTACGTCACACATTTTTTGGTGATTTTAGTGCCTCCTTGTTACATATTGTCACAAAGTCTACATCCCACCTCAAGGTCATACATTTAATTTTCTGTTTTTTATAAATCTTATAGATTTTATTAAACAATTTTTTTGATGTTCTAGTAACCGCAAGGGAGTAGGTGGCCTATTTATATTTTTTTAAGTTTACACGGATGACTCATATTATGTTACTACTTATTTATTGGTTATTCGTTATTTGACCTAATAAATATTTTCATTAGAAAACTCTTTCGCACCTAGGGTTGCCAGAAATCAAAATGTCTTAAAATAAAAAATTTAACTTGGAAATATAGAAGTTAAAAATTTATATAGAAGATGACAATACATCATTGCATTAGTAGGTACCTACCCAAAATTACTAATTTAATAAAAAATAAAACATATAAACGTTAAAATTAAATAAATAATAAAAATAATAATTAATATTATGCGCTGGGGGTTAGAAAAGGGGATTTTAGGTATAAAAAACTACATATTTTTTTTCGTTACGTAGGTAGTGTTTGAGTTAAAAAAATTCGGCAACAAGAAAATGTTTTTATTTGTTTGGTGTGATTTAGATTTAGAAAACAATAGATAATGAACACCTGTACAAAAAATCAACTTAATCTTCAAAGAAAAATTATGTAAATATTAACAGGTGTTCATTTAATATAACAGCATTAATAATTAAGTAATTAATAAAACCAATTTGGCACAAACAAAAACTACTTTTCGTTATAACGCTTATGGCAAGTTAACGGAATATTTTAAGTGAGTCGTTATCCAAAATATAACTAAATATGTTAAACAAAAATAAACTTTTTCCACTCCTATTGCATAATATTGGGTTTTATTCGTGAATAATGATATACATTATAAATTCCACGTTGTTGGGCATCAGTGAGTGGCCGATTTCAATATTCACTTGATTAAACCAATCGGGTTTTAAATTGGGAGAAGACGACTAGACCTTTAAAATTGGTAAAAAGTGAGCGGCCATTCCACGCGTAACGAATGGGACAGTTCCAAGTTTTTATTAACAAAATAATATTGTTCTATTAAATTACTAATGTCAAATTTTTATAAATAGTTCCAAACAAAAGTTGTTTAACAAGGTTTTTATTTGTCAAAATTAGGTATCGTGGTTGTCTGTTTAATTTTTTTATTCAAAAACAGTACTAGTAGGGTTTTTGAATAAATAAATTAATTTTTAAGGAATTAAACAGTCAACCACGATACCTAATTTTGACAAATAAAAACCTTGTTAAATAGCTTTTGTTTAGAACTATTTATAAAAATTTGACATTAGTAATATAATAGAACAATGTTATTTTATAAATAAAAACTTGCAACTGTCCCATCCGTTACGCGTGGAATGGCCGTGAGGTAACATTTGACAGATGTCAGATTTTTATTAATTATTTTTGAAAATCATTTAATTATCTACTTATTAGACAGCAATTCTACGTTACTTGGAAATTTTTGTGTATAAATATATATATATATATATATTTATATATATATATATATATACAGGGTGTTTCTTTTAACTTGAGACAGCTCAATATCTCGAGAAATACGCATTTCACGGAAAAATGTCTTAAATAAAAGGTTAATGTGACCAAATGGGACATTATTTGGGGCTACAGCTAGCCACCCCCTACCCCTCGTTAAGGGTTAAACGGGGGGTAACTTTGGAAAGTCAAACGGGATGACCCGATTTTTTTCACAGTCTTTGGTAGCACATAAAAAATGAATAACTTTTATTTGAAACTTTTTTTAAATTTATCAACAGATGGCGCTGTAATTCAAAATTTAAGAAAAATGGGTTTCCTTGAAAAATGTATTATTTGAAACGTTTGAAAAACAAAAATTAACATTAAATCAACAATAGTCAGCTCTGAAAACAATTTATAACAAATGTTCGAAATGTCGTCCTTCCATTTCGATACATTTTTGAATGCGGGTAATGAATTCTGGCACACAACGCGCCAACATGTCGGGCGGTATCGCCGCAAAGGCGTTCCTGATTGTTTTCAGAGCCGACTATTGTTGATTTAATGTTAATTTTTGTTTTTCAAACGTTCCAAATAATACATTTTACAAGGAAACCCATTTTTCTTAAATTTTGAATTACAGCGCCATCTGTTGATAAATTAAAATAAGTTTCAAATAAAAGTTATTAATTTTTTTATGTACTACCAAAATCTGTGAAAAAAATCGGGTCATCCCATTTGACTTTCCAAAGTTACCCCCCGTTTCACCCTTAAGGACGGGTAGGGGGTGCACATACAGGTATTTCTAAGATCTTGGCGGCCAAAATGCCTGTTATCAAAGTTTGAATGACATCGTTAAAACAGACAACCTGCGTTGGACGACGCTTCTGAGAACCGTATGCAACCGCTTACTCCCTTTTCCCGCGCACCCCACGTACGTATGATTAGTCTGAATTTAAATGTCTAACCTAGAGTACATATCAATTTTTAGCGTGCCTATAAGACAACCTGTTTTTTATGTGAATATTTGCACCGCAAGTTAATCTAACAAGTTAAAATTGATGGATCCTAATACACCAGGTAATAAACTTACAAATTATCATATAATAAATATAAATAACTTATTTAAATAGAAATTTTTAATTATTGAAAGTGAACTCTTTTTCTTAGTCTAGTTTTAATGATTTTTTTTCTTTCACGAAGGTATTTGTTATGATATCAAGCTAGATCAAGCTATGGTTTTAATTTTTATGTAATATTTACCCTTTCTTTTAATAAATAACACCAAAAGATTGCCCGGAAAATTCCGGATAACTTGTTTTTTTGATACTTCAAAGATTTTGGACAAAAAAAATCTAAAAAATAAATAATATTATTTTTTTTTTATTTTTGCAATTTTTCAAAGTGTATGTTTGTCTTTGGTGTACCAGGTGTTTCGGAAGTAAGGATAGTAACTCGAAAACACTTGTTTGATGGCATGGAGAGCGCGGATGTGTCTTATATTAATAATAATAATAATAATAAAATACTTTATTCATCCCAAGAAACAATGAGAACTTGTTTATAGAGGGCATCTCTATATACACGATACATATTTAATATTGAATACAATTACAAATTTTGAACTTAACTGACTACATATTACCATTATCACATTTATAAATATCACATTCCAGTTACAATCTGTACGGATATACTAACAAAATAAATAAACTTATTATATAAACACACTTATGCTTATTATAACATATGTACATGTTGGATACATGCATCCAACATACTCCACAAACATTTATATTTATCTTGGATGAAAGAAATTTTTTAAAGCCTTAACATTATTTAAGGATTTGACATCGTCAGGCAAGGTGTTATATGTAATTAAGCCTCTATACAAAATAGAGTTTTGTCCATACCTGGAGCCAATTTGTATCAAGTCTAAACTATTAACGTTTCTGGTATTGTGGCTATGTATTTGATTTCTAAACATTACTTTTAGATTAGAATGTTTTTTATTATTTACAACATTCTGTATAAAGGAACAAACTTGATATTTATAGATATTGTCCAAAGGCATAATGTTAAAGTTTCTATACAAATCCTCTGTATGATATCTAACGGGTAAGCAATAAAGATTTTTAATTGATTTATTTTGAAGTGTCTTGATTGGTTTTAGTACTTTTTCATGTGTTGAGTACCATATGGCCGCCAAATACTGAAGGTGGGAGTGAATAAGTGCATAGTAGACTGATCTTAAATACTTCTTAGGGAGTGAACCATTTAATCTGTGTAAAATACCTATTGGGCCAGATATTTTTTGTCTTATTTTTTTAACGTGATCAGAGAATGTTAATGTTTCAACAATTATAAGACCTAAAAACTTTATATTTGAACTATACTTTAAAACACCACCCTCAATATTTAACGGTCGACTACTTGGTATTTTATACTTGGACTTTTCCACATTTAAAGTGAGTTTATGTGATTTTAGCCATCTAGAAATCAAGCTCATATCCTGAGCAATATAACGCTCTAAAATGTCCACTGAATTCGAGAAGTATAAAAGGGTAGAATCATCCGCAAACAAATGTATTTTTCCTTTAAGCGATAAATTAGTTAATGAATTTATATAAATGAGGAATAGGGTTGGGCCCAATATTGAGCCCTGTGGAACCCCATAGTCTATGTTTTTCTCATCACTTTTTATGTTACCTATCTGATGCTAAACTAAACTGTCTAAAGGATCAACTATTCTCATGTGAAGGTACGTTAACGCATATGTTAACCTGTACCCATGGCATCCTATGACTCCACCATTGCTCAAGATTTTAGTTCATGGGGCAGTAATATATTGAAAAAGCATTGTTATCTATTGGTCAGCTTTCAGAGGAGGCAGCTGAAGCTCGTAATAACTATTTCAGGAGTTATCGACAAAACTTTGAAAGAACATTTTTTCGAGAAAACTGCAATAGGGACAAATTCAATCGCCTTTTACTTAGTTCAGATCCTATGTTGAGAAGCATGAGAACAATATAGAAAAGAAAAGCTAACACGTTCTTGCCAGAAGCAATATCAATGTTCATATCCATACAGGAGCTATAATTCATCAGAT